TGAGGTAAAACACATAAATCCTAGGACAGACTTTGAATGTTGCTGGCTTCAAAACATAGAGGAGAGATCTTGAACAGTTGTAAGAAAAATGAGAGAGAGAAATACCTGAGTGTAATGAGTTGGGACTGGATCTGCTGAAAAAACAAGAGAGGAATTGTTGCTAAAGGCAAATGTCAGAAATTTCAGAAAACCAAGCCTTCGGCTAACCCAGAGATAGAAACAGAAGGCTAGGACTCCTGTGCAGAGCCAAGAGCCTCCAGGGTTTAGGATAGTCCCAGGTGGAAGCATACCAGACTCCCGGCAGATGGTGAAAAACTTTCTCCTCCGACCTACACCTACCTCAGGGCACCCTAGCCCACCAAGATCAAGCAAGACTTACCAACTGAAAAACTACAGAAACAAAACCAGACTCAGACACCAAAAAATGCAGGTTTGGGGTTTGTCAGATGCAGAATAATACAACCACTATGGAATGACTAAAACAATCAGCAATATTACCACAAAGATGACTGACAACAAAAGACTATCAGGAATCACAGGAAATAGCTGAAAATTAAGAAAAAACAGGTAGAACTGCTGGGAAAACTCTATCCAAAAAAAAAAAAAAAAGCTCAACTGGTGGAAAAGAGTTTTGCTTTTGGCAACCCATAATTAAGTTGTTTCAGATCAGCCCTCCTTCCAGAGCTCCTGCCATAGCTAGAAAATATACAAACACTATAGGTGTCCAAGAGTTCCCAATGCTATGAGAATTTGTGGTGACAGGGTTTGGAACAAAATAAAACCTAATGAGACTGGCATTGGGGTCACCTTCCCCTAATTATAAATTCTAAAAGGAATGTCTGAGAAGCTAAGAAGCTGAGGAGCATTGGTGGCAGTTTAGTGGAGCTAAAGAGGACCACCTGCTGAACCCTGGAGACACAGCTCCCGATGAGTTTGCCGGGGTTGGTGTCTTTGCATCGCTTCCTGCTGCCAGTGGGCTAGTTCGAACTTTGACAGCCTCCTTAAAGCAAACACAAGCTCAGTGGACCACTTTGAGCCAAATGGGCTCTTACGGAATACGTTTCTGTGAATGCTACCTACAGAATTGCTGTCTTTGGGGATGAATACCTGAACACACTCAGCATGGGGGACCGCTTGGTAAACGTGCTTTTCCCTTCACATGCCTCCAGACCCTTGATGCTTAAAACAATGAAATGATTAGGGAAGTTATCTTTATGGGGCAGAAGGGAGTACATTTCGAGGTGTTCGTGAGGCGAGGGATGAAGATGTGATATTCACACTCCATTCATAATCCAATGTGGAAATAGAAATGCAAAGACAGACATGAAAGGGGGAGCAGAGAGTGCCCAGCAGGTCCACTTCAGGATGGTTAAGGCAGGCCCTGGAAGGATGTGATATTTAAGCTGAGACACAGAGGAGAAAGGAGATAATCCAGGCTAGGAGGGAATGCAAAGACAGGCACAGAGGCCATGGAGGGGGAATGGGCACCCACGGGGGCGGTCTGGCAGAGGGGGGATGGGCACCACATGGTCCCACTGGTGGAGGGGGGATGGGCACCCACGTGAGTGCACAGGCAGATGGCCAAGCGTGGCTCCTGTTCGTGGGGCTCTGGGTTGCAGCCCCGGCCCCTGCTACACCTCACCCTGCATCACTACCCTCTGCAGCGACGGGAAAACCTGTGAGCTCTCATTGCTGGAAGCAGACGTAAAGTCAACAATGAGAAAACGGGGTTATCTCGGAATAAGAAAGGGACAGTGTGACATTTAAACAAATTAGCACTACCAACCAGTTTTACAGGTTAACATAAAGTAAATGTAACACTAGCTGTCAATGAGTGATCCATGAGAGATATTTGGAAGGTCTTTAGTTAAACAATAGGGTTTAACCAGTGTGATCTCTGCAAATATTAAGAGACAAAGCTGGAAAGAGAAGCCATAATGGCCCTCTTTCTCTCTGTGGCCTCAGACTTGCTTCCATGTCTTGTTCTTATAACCTTCAAGGGCCATTGTACATCCTTCTCATAAACTATTTGCTCATTGTCGCTCATGGTTTCGGTCTGCTTTGTACATGTCTAGGGGACAGTTAAACATTAGGGAATCAGGCCTTTACATGAGATATAACTTGCAAAATTTCCTGTTATTGTCTTTTGATTCTTCTCATGTGTTCTCTGCTGTGCCATTGGCATTTCTTTTTAATGTAAATAAAGTTAAGTTTTATGACTCTTTTTACAGAAAATCTCTGGATTTTGAATCACGGTTTGCAGACTTCCCCTGGAACGTTTTCTTGCCTTCCCTCCTAGCAGCATCGGCAGGGAGCAGGGCATTAGGATTTCTTGCCTGTTTGGAGCAGCTTTTCTGTGGGGCTCTCCTGGCTGCCCTCCCACAGAACCACACAGCGGGACTGCGGGTCTGGAAACAGCCCTGTGATGTTCACCCTCACTCAGTGATTTAAAGCACTGCTCCTAATTGGAGCAGATGCTGCTCTAAGCAGCAGTAAAATCAATGTGATACCGTTAACTCTGATTATCACCCCACATGCACCGTGATTTAGGAGTTTAAGACAGAACAATTGCAAAAAGCTAACTCACGTACAGACTTACTCCAACAGCTTCCTGTGCCGGCTTGTGCTGGCCACGGGGTCTCTCTGCAGCCCTGGGAGACTTGCCACAAACACCTGTTCTTATGCCACTGTGAGGGTGAACACCATTCCAGAGATGTTCCCAGGAGCTCTCCTGGACGGTGTGTGTGCCCAGCCTGCTCACTTACACACTGGGCATTTGCAGCTGGCAGACCTCCAGCTCTGTCTGGAACTTTCTCAGCTCCATGTTTGATTGCTTAACTTGGTAATATATTTTCTTTTTTAAAATATTTTATTTATTTGAGAGGGAGAGCATGCACATGAGTGGGGGGAGGGGCAGGGAGTGAGGGACAAGCAGACTCCCCGTTGAGCAGGGAGCCCTATACAATGCTTGATGGATCCCAGGGTCCCAAGATCAAGACCTGAGCCGAAGTCAGATGCTTAACCGACTGAGCCACCCAGGCGCCCCTGCAATGTATTTCCAAATCAAGAAGTGTGATGTCTCCATCTTTGTCTTCTTACTTAAGATTGCTTGGCTATTTGGGGTCTTTTGTAGTTCCATACACATTTTAGAACTGTATCTTCCATTTCTGTATAGGCTGTCATTGGAATTTAATAGGGACTTCATAGAATCTATAGACGGCTTTGGACAGTATGGACATTTTAACAATATTAATTCTTCCAACCCATAAACTTTTATGTCTCTCCATTTATCTGTGTTTTCTTTAATTTCCCTTATCAATGTTTTATAATTTTTAGTGTGTAAGTCTTTTACTTCTTGGTTAATTAATTCCCAAGTATTTTATTCTTTTTGTTGCTATTGTGGATAAGATTTTTAAAATTTCCTTTTTAGATAATCCATCGTTTGTGTATGAAAACATGATATTTTTATATGTTAATATTTTACCCTGCAACTTTACTGAATTTGTCTATTCAAAAACTTTTGTTGTTGTTGAGTCCTTAGGGTTGTTCCTACAGACATGATTATGCCATATACAAACAGAAATAATTTTATTTCTTCCTTTCCAATTTTTCTTGCCTAATTGCTCTAGCTAGGACTTCTGGTACTATATTGAATAAAGTGGTGAGAGTGGACGGCTTTGCCCTGCACTGGATCTTACAGGAAAAGAAAGCTTTCCGTTTTTCCCCATCGATCCCACTGTGAGCTGGAGCCCGGAAGTGTAGTGAAGGAGAAAAGTATTCCATGTGCGGCAGTGATGCTGAGTCTGAGGCAGGGCCATGCAGTGGCACTCATCTTTTTTCTAAAATATCTAAACTTAACCTTACATTGTGATTGATTTTTTTTTATATGGACAACTGAAAAATAGCTTCCATTTATTGAGAGAGAACTGTAAGCCAGCCATATACAGTGTACTTTATAATAAATCGTCTCTCTTGATCTTTACAAGTGATTTGAGAGGGGAGGAAACTGAGGCCTATAAAAGCACAATTAAGTCACCTGGAGTCAAAGAACAAATAAGTAGCAGAACTAGAATTTGAACACAAGCCTGATTCCAAATAAAACCCATACTTTTAACCATTACTCATATTGGCTCTCAACCAACAATAAATGAGTCCATAGACAAACAACAGCTATTGTAGAAGTCAGTTTGGGATGAAGGAAATTCCTCCCCTAATCATTCCTGACTGTGCTGCCGTCTGATTATTTGGGTGTTTGGTTGGTTTTTTTTATTTTTAACATTATAAAGTGGATAAACATAGCAAGAAACAAAAGCCATGGCTATTGTTTGAGAGCAGTTAGTCTATACCACTGCCTTAATGACATTCAGGACTATAAAATGTGCTGCCTGGCTAAATTCTCATGGAAATTTTTTTACATGTAACCTGTGCTCACAATATCTGAATGTAAGGAACACCTAAATTCTGTGACTTTCAGGTCCCAAAGAGTACTAATGGATACCAAATTAAATTATTTGAAAATAAATTCTACTTCATTGACTGGATCCTAACGGTAGGTATTAAGGAAACCATATAAACCCTTGAGTTTGCTGAGTCAGAAGGGCGTTTTTCGTTATTGTACATTAATAACTCAAGCTATCTTCATAGCCGACTTTCAAGATAACTTAAAGGTGCCTGGAATCCTTGAACTAACTTTCTATGTTAAATTGGTTTGGACCCAGATGCAGAGACTAACAATCATACCATTTAAACACAGAACAAAATCAGCCGGGAATAGCAACCCTTGGATGCCTGACTTGAAGATGTAAGCAGGAATTAGTGATTACTTCAAATGGCTGGAAGATCCCAGAGGAAAATTTGCGGGACTCTTCATTCCATTTTGCCCTGAACACCGAATTGTTAGTACAAATACCTGGCAACATCAAAATACAGGTGCAGATTTGGAATATATAAAGCCTCAGTTTGGTCTCTTTATATTTTAACTGCATTTCACTATGTTGAGGTTCAAGATGAAATACTTGCATTTTAATGTCACATTTGCCAGATTTCCAAACCTCTAAGCACAAAATCCTCAGGCTTCATTTCTTTGCTTGCCGGGAAATCCTGGTAGCACTGAGACAAAAGTTAGAAGTTATGAAGTGAGATTATACTTGATTGGGAACAAAAAAAGTCCTATGTCCAGAAATGCAGATGTGCACAGCAGTCCTAGGGGAATGTTGGTATTTGATCTCCAAGTCTTAAAGGTTCATGTTCCCAAGGTTAAGAGATGCAGAGAGCCAGCTTTTATTTGTAACTAATGCTGAAATTACTCTAGATATTCAAGAAGTATTACATTACAAATCACTCAACTTTGGAAGTCCTATAGCTAGTGAGTTACAAATATCACTGTGTGAGGGAAAGGGGCAATAGGTGAAGGACATCATTCATAAACTTAATTTATACTGTTGCAGTGTGATCATGCATATGCTGTGTGAGTGTTTTCGTTCCAGTGAGAAAAGGAAAAGAGAGCATAAGAAGTCCATGAGTCAAGACCCCAACTAAAAGAACTAGGAAGTAAAGACCTCCTTGTCTAGGGGAATTGGGGTGGGGATGGGGGCAGAGTGCAGGAGTCAGCTCAGGCTACAATCTCTTCCTTCTTTTTCTAATGTCTAACATCATGAGCTGAGGCAAGTCCCATATTTATTGAGCAAGAAAGGCTCCCATTTAACTAAAAGTGAAAGCTAAAGCCTAGGTATTCACAAAATAATATCCTTGAACAAACAGGGTACCTATGGCCATCTATGTAAAAGATACACATAGAAGACATTTCACCTCAAGGGGGGATCTTTGGTGGAACCAAATCTAATATTAAAATCAAGAATAGTTAGAGGCATTAATGTGTCACACAGCTGCCTTTTTCTTTTAAATTTAATAAACTGTATTCTTATAACAGGTACTTTCTACTCTGCTATAGCTAATTGGACTTCCTTTTTGGCTAGACACTTTTTAATTTTTATAATTTTTTTAAGTAAGCTCAACACCCAATGTAGGGCTTGAACTCATGAACCCCAAGATTATGAATCACATGCTCTACTGACTAAGCCAGCCAGGCACCCCTAGAACTTTTTCATTTTAAACTAAATAATGATCTGATATTCTTTTTTTTTTTTTTTTGGACAATAACTTTGTTTCCAACAACAAAGAGAAAAGGGATAAATCTGTGTTGGTGGCAGGAGTAAGCTATTGTAGGTAAAATTTACCTTTCGTAACTTTTTCTTTTTTTTTATCATTGGTTTTTAATGTAGTGTTCCATGATTCATTGTTTGTGCATAACACCCAGTGCTCCACGCAGAACATGCCCTCTTTAATACCCATCACCAGGATAACCCATCCCCCCCAGAACCCTCAGTTTGTTTTTCAGAGTCCATCATCTCTCATGGTTCGTCTCCCCCTCTGATTCCCCCCTTCATTCTTCCCCTCCTGCTATCTTCTTCTTCTTTTTTTTTTTTTTTAACATATATTGCATTATTTGTTTCAGAAGTACAGATCTGTGATTCAGCAGTCTTGCACAATTCACAGCGCTCACCATAGCACATACCCTCCCCAATGTCTATCACCCAGTCACCCCATCCCTCCCACCCCCACCACTCCAGCAAACCTCAGTTTGTTTCCTGAGATTAAGAAATCCTCGTATCAGTGAGGTCATATGATACATGTCTTTTCTGATTGACTTATTTCACTCAGCATAACACCCTCCAGTTCCATCCCCGTCGTTGCAAATGGCAAGATCTCATTCCTTTTGATGGCTGCATAATATTCCATTGTGTATATATACCACTTCTTTATCCATTCATCTGTCAATGGACATCTTGCCTCTTTCCACAGCTTGGCTATTGTGGACATTGCTGCTATAAACTGGGGTGCACATACCCCTTCGGATCCCTACATTTGTATCTCTGGGATAAATACCCAGTAGTGCAATCCTGGATCGTATGGTAGCTCTCTTTTCAACTGTTTGAGGAACCTCCATATTGTTTTCCAGAGTGGTTGCACCAGCTTGCATTCCCACCAACAGTGTAGGAGGGTTCCCCGTTCCCCACATCCCTGCCAAAATCTGTCATTTCCTAACTTGTTAATTTTAGCCATTCTGGCTGGTGTGAGGTGGTATCTCATTGAGGTTTTGTTTTGGATTTCCCTGATGCCGAGTGATGTTGAGCACCTTTTCATGTGTCTGTTGGCCATTTGGATGTCTTCTTTGGAAAAATGACTGTTCATGTCCCCTGCCCATTTCTTGATTGGATCATTTGTTCTTTGGGTGTTGAGTTTGATAAGTTCTTTATAGATTTTGGATACTAGCCCTTTATCTGATATGTCATTTGCAAATATTTTCTCCCATTCTGTCGGTTGTCTTTTGGTTTTGTGGACTATTTCTTTTGCTGTGCAAAAGCTTTTTAACTTGATGAAATCCCAATAGTTCATTTTTGCTTTTGCTTCCCTTGCCTTTGGTGATGTTTCTAGGAAGAAATTGCTGCGGCTGAGGTCGAAGAAGTTGCTGCCTGTGTTCTCCTTTAGGATTTTGATGGACTCCTGTCTCACGTTTAGGTCTTTCAAGCATTTGGAGTCTATTTTTGTATGTGGTGTAAGGAAATGGTCCAGTTTCATTCTTCTGCATGTGGCTGTCCAATTTCACCAACACCATTTGTTGAAGAGACTGTCTTTTTGCCATTGGACATTCTTTCCTGCTTTGTCAAAGATGAGTTGACCATAGAGTTGAGGGTCCATTTCTGGGCTCTCGATTCTGTTCCATTGATCTATGTGTCTGTTTTTGTGCCAGTACCATACTGTCTTGATGATGACAGCTTTGTAATAGAGCTGTAAGTCCGGAATTGTGATGCCGCCAGCTTTGCTTTTATTTCTCAAAATTCCTCTGGCTATTCGGGGTCTTTTCTGGTTCCATACAAATTTTAGGATTATTTGTTCCATTTCTTTGAAAAAAGTGGATGGTATTTTGATGGGGATTGCATTGAATGTGTAGATTGCTCTAGGTAGCATTGACGTCTTCACAATGTTTGTTCTTCCAATCCATGAGCATGGAACGGTTTTCCATTTCTTTGTGTCTTCCTCAATTTCTTTCATGAATGTTCTATAGTTTTTGGAGTACAGATCCTTTGCCTCTTTGGTTAGATTTATTCCTAGGTATCTTATGGTTTTGGATGCATTGTAAATGGGATCGACTCCTTGATTTGTCTCTCTTCTGTCTTGTTGTTGGTGTATGGGAATGCCACTGATTTCTGTGCATTGATTTTATATCCTGACATTTTACTGAATTCCTGTATGAGTTCTAGCAGTTTTGGGGTGGAGTCTTTTGGGTTTTCCACATACAGTATCATATCATCTGCAAAGAGTGAGAGTTTGACTTCCTCTTTGCCGATTTGGATGCCTTTGATTTATTTTTGTTGTCTGATTGCTGTGGCTAGGACTTCTAATACTATGTTGAGTAGCAGTGGTGAGAGTGGACATCCCTGCCGCGTTCCTGACCTTAGGGGGAAAGCTCTCACTTTTTCCTCATTGAGAATGATATTCGCTGTAGGTTTTTCATAGATGGCTTTTATGATATTGAGGTAGGTGCCCTCTATCCCTATACTCTGAAGAGTTTTGATCAAGAAAGGATGCTGTACTTTGTCAAGTGCTTTCTCTGCATCTATTGAGAGGATCATATGATTCTTGTTCTTTCTTTTGTTAATATATTGTATCACGTTGATTGATTTGTGGATGTTGAACCAATCTTGCAGCCCAGGGATAAATCCCACTTGGTTGTGGTGAATAATCCTTTTAATGTACTGTTGGATCCTATTGGCTAGTATTATGGTGAGAATTTTTGCATCCATGTTCATCAAGGATATTGGTCTGTAATTCTCCTTTTGGATGGAGTCTTTGTCTGGTTTTGGGATGAAGGTAATGCTGGCCTCATAAAATGAGTTTGGAAGTTTTCCTTCCATTTCTATTTTTTGGAACAGTTTCAGGAGAATAGGTATTAATTCTTCTTGAAATGTTTGGTAGAATTCCCCTGGGAAGCCATCTGGCCCTGGGCTTTTGTTTCTTGGGAGATTTTGGATGACTGCTTCAATTTCCTTAGTGGTTATAGGTCTGGTCAGGTTTTCTATGTCTTCCTGGTTCAATTTTGGTAGTTGATACATCTCTAGGAATGCACTCATTTCTTCCAGGTTATCTAATTTGCTGGCATAGAGTTGCTCATAATATGTTCTTATAATTGTTTGTATTTCTTTGGTGTTGGTTGTGATCTCTCCTCTTTCATTCATGATTTTGTTGATTTGGGTCATTTCTCTTTTCTTTTTGATAAGTCTGGACAGGGGTTTATCAATCTTGTTAATTCTTTCAAAGAACCAGCTCCCAGTTTTGTTGATCTGTTCTACTGTTCTTTTGGTTTCTAGTTCATTGATTTCTGCTCTGATCTTTATTATTTCTCTTCTCCTGCTGGGTTTATGCTTAATTGCTGTTTTTTCTCTAGCTCCTTTAGGTGTAGGATTAGGTTGTATGTTTGAGACCTTTCTTGTTTCTTGAGAAAGGCTTGTATTGCTATATACTTTCCTCTCAGGACTGCCTTTGCTGTATCCCAAAGATTTTGGACAGTTGTGTTTTCATTTTCATTGGTTTCCATGAATTTTTTTAATTCTTCTTTAATTTCCTGGTTGACTCATTCATTCTTTAGTAGGATGCTCTTTAGCCTCCATGTATTTGAGTTCTTTTCGACTTTCCTCTTGTTATTGAGTTCTAGTTTCAAAGCATTGTCATCTGAAAATATGCAGGGAATAATCCCAATCTTTTGGTACCAGCTGAGACATGATTTGTGACCTAGGATGTGATCAGTTCTGGAGAATGTTCCATGGGCACTAGAGAAGAATGTGTATTCTGTTGTTTTGGGATGGAATGTTCTGAATATGTCAGTGAAGTCTGGTCCAGTGTGTCATTTAAAGTCTTTATTTCCTTGTTGATCTTTTGCTTAGATGATCTCTCCATTTCAGTGAGGGGGGTGTTAAAGCCCCCCAGTATTATTGTATTGTTGTTAATGTGTTTCTTTGCTTTTGTTATTAATTGCCTTATATAATTGGCTGCTCCCATGTTAGGGGCATAGATATTTACAATTGTTAGATCTTCTTGGTAGATAGACCCTTTAAGTAGGATATAGTGTCCTTACTCATCTCTTATTACAGTCTTTGTTTTAAAAATCTAATTTGTCTGATATAAGGATTGCCACTCCAGCTTTCTTTTGGTGTCCATTAGCATGGTAAATGGTTTTCCACCCCCTCACTTTCAATCTGGGGGTGTCTTTGGGGCTAAAAGGAGTCTCTTGCAGGCAGCATATTGATGTGTCTTGTTTTTTAATCCAATCTGATAGCCTGTGTCTTTTGATTGGGGCATTTAGCCCATTTCCATTCAGAGTAACTATGGAAAGATATGAATTTAGTGCCATTGTATTGCCTGTAAAGTGACTGTTACTGTATATTGTCTGTGTTCCTTTCTGGTCCATGCTGCTTTTAGGCTCTCTCTTTGTTTTGAGGACCCCTTTCAATATTTCTTGGAGGGCTGGTTTCGTGTTTGCAAATTCCTTTAGTTTTTGTTTGTTCTGGAAGCTTTTTATCTCTCCTTCTATTTTCATTGACAGCCTAGCTGGATATAGTATTCTTGGCTGCATATTTTTCTCGTTTAGTGCTCTGAAGATATCTTGCCAGTCCTTTCTGGCCTGCCAGGTCTCTGTGGATAGGTCTGTTGTCAATCTAACGTTTCTACCATTGTAGGTTACATATCTCTTCTCCTGAGCTGCTTTCAGGATTTTCTCTTTGTCTCTGAGACTCGTAAGTTTTACTATTAGATGTTGGGGTGTTGACCTATTTTTATTGATTTTGAGAGGGGTTCTCTGTGCCTCCTGGATTTTGATGCCTGTTTCCTTCCTCACATTAGGGAAGTCCTCTGCTATAATTTGCTCCAATATACTTTCTGCCCCTCTCTCTTTCTTCTTCTTCTGGGATCCCAATTATTCTAATGTTGTTTCATCTTATGGTATCACTTATCTCTCAAATTCTGCCTTTGTGATCCAGTAGTTGTTTATCTCTCTTTTTCTCAGCCTCTTTATTTTCCAGCATTTGCTCTTCTATATCGCTGATTCTCTCTTCTGCCTCATTTATCCTAGCAGTTACTGCCCCCATTTTTGATTGCACCTCATTAATAGCCTTTTTGATTTCGACTTGGTTAGATTTTAGTTCTTTTATTTCTCCAGAAAGGGTTTCTCTAATAACTTCCATGCTTTTTTCAAGCCCAGCTAGTATCTTTAAAGTCATGATTCTGAACTCCAAGTCCAACCTTGCACTAATGTCCATATTGGGTAGGTCCCTGGGAGACGGTACTACCTCTTGTTCTTTTTGTTGAGGTGATTTTTTTCTTGTTATTTTGTCCAGTGGAGAATAGATGAATGAGAGAACAAAGTGCTAACAGGTTAACAACGTCCCCAGAAAACATACTCTAATCAAATCAGATAAGACCTGAAACCAGGGGAAAAGAAAGGGAAAGAAAGAAAAAAGAAAGAGAAAAAATAAAAAAGAAAGAAAAATATAAAACAAACAAAAACAGAACAAAACAAAAAAAAACCAGAATATGATCAAATATGATCAGGCTGGTGCATAGATCAGTGCCACACACTAGATTTTTGGTGTATTTTAGTCTGTTAGAAGAAAGTGCCTCCTAAAATTTTAAAGGAAGAAAGACTTATATATGTACAAATTAAAGGTTGATATGATGAAGGGATGGAATATGATTGTAAAGATGAAAATTATAAAAAATGTTAAAAAAGGAATTGATAAGAAGATGTTTGAAAAAAGAAAGAAGATTAAAAAAAGGAAAGAAAGAAAAAAAAAAGGAGGGGAGAATATGATCAGGCAGGGGACTAGAACAAAGCCATATACTAGAGATCTAGGGTATATTTTGATATGTTAGAAGAAACTGTATCTCAAAATTTTAAAGAGAGAACAACTTATATATATATATATATATATATATATATGCCAAAAATAAGGGTAACTACTATGAAGGGATAGAATATGACTCTAAAAATGAAAAATAAAAATGATTTTTTAAAAAAAAGGGATTGATAAGATGTTGGTTGAAAAAGGAAAAAGAAAAATTAAAAAAAATTTAAAAAAAATTAACTTTGAAAGACTAATGAATCATGGTAAAAAAACCCATCAATTCTCTGTGCAGTATTCCCCTAGCGCTGGAGTTCTGCCGTTCTCCTTGATCGGTAAACTTGGTCTTGGCTGGCTATTCTTGCTGACCTTCTGGGGGAGGGGCCTGTTGCCATGGTTCCCAAATGTCTTTGCCGGAGGCGGAATTGCCCCGCCCTTGCTGGTCCAGGCTAAGTAATCTGCTGGGGTTTGCTCTCGGCAGCTTTTGTTCCCTGCAAGCTCTCGGTACAGCTTTGGAGGACGAGAGTGAAAATGGTGGCCTCCCAATCTCCGCCCTGGAGGAGCCGAGAACTCAGGGCCCCGCTCCTCAGTGCACCCCCAGAGAAAAGCAGTCAGTCACTCCCGTCTCCCCAGTCTCTGGCCGCACTCCGTGCTCACCCAGCCTGTGACCGAGCATTTCTATCTCTGGCACCTGACCCCATGTGGAGTCTCCAAACCCAGCAGATCCCTGCGGTGCGCTCCCGCGCCGCTCCTCCCGGGGGAGGAAGGGGAGTCTCCCCAGATCTGCCGCTTGTTGGGTCCCTGCTGGAGGAGCAGTGGCCCGACTGGGCTGCGGATCACAGTTTATGGCCACCCCGAGCTGAGACCCCACGCCTCGGCTCCGTCACTGCAGCCGGCTTCCCCGCTCCGATACCTGGGAGCTCTGCCGCACTCAGGCACCCCCAGTCTTTCTGTGCCCCCAAGGGTCCTGGGACCACACTGTCCTGCGAGGGTTCTACCCCCAGCTTAGCCACTGGAGCGATGTCCCTCAGCGGAGCTGACTTCTAAAAGTTCCGATTTTGTCCTCCGTGGCTCTAACACTTGCCAGAAGCGGCCGACGGAGGCCCCTCCCCCACCGTCTATCCTCCCGAATATTGCCTCGGATTCACTTCTCTGCACGTCTATCTTCCAGAAAGCAGTTGTTTTTCTGTTCAGAGAGTTGTTGCTATTCTTTTCTTCGATCTCCTGTTGAGTTTGTAGTTGTTCAGAATGGTTTGATCCCTATCCAGCTGAATTCCTGAGACCAGACGAAATCCAGGTCTCCTACTCCTCCGCCACCTTGCTCCGCCCCTCCTGTAATTGTTTTTTTGTTTTAAGTAGGCTCCATGCCCAGTGCGGAGCCCAATGTGGAGCTTGAACTCACAACCCTAGATTCAAAAACCAAGCTGAGATCAAGAATCGGACACTTAACTGATGGAGCCACCTTGGTGTCCCTGTAATTGAATCTTTTCTAAAAGATTAAAATAATGTCTTCTTAAAAGGATGGTATCTTACTTACCATGGAGAGCACAAATAACAAAAAGAGGGAGTGTGTCAATTATTCCATTTGTGACATTTCTTGAATTAGACATACATTTTTAGTAAGAATATTTTCTTTTCTTTCTGAAGTTAAGAGAGTAACTGTGGAGCTTTATATGAGACTTTAAAAGTTCCATTCCCAAAGACTAAACTGGCATTTTCTAAAATGTGTACAAATGAATGAGCATTGCCAACACTTTACTTCCTTTGGATTCCTGAGTATCTCAGATGAGATTTTCCCACCCTGGCCCTTGTCACTCTTCTGCTAGATGCTCATGTGCATATGTGTGTATGTGTAAATGCACACTTGTGTGGGCACACCTGTGCATAGGATGGAATCATGCTTCATGCCCATTCACCTAACTTTCATGAACACTGTCTCTCCACCTCCCTCAAGGGAGGATTGGGGGAATTTGGCTACACTCACAATATTACCTCTCCTAAACTCTATCCCTCCACATGTATGGCCAGTGTGTCCCTTTTCCTTATCCCAAATGATCCTCATGGGGAGGAAGGAATTAATGTGTGAGGCCAGGGGAAACCTGAGCTCACACAACTGAACACTGGTGAAACAGAAGTCATGTCCAGAGCTCCTAAGGCCAGAGCCCATAATCTATTCCACTCTACCAAATCTTACCCCTGGCAAAGACCAAATATGCAAGCCAAGTGCTTTCACAGAGCAGATTCTCTCTCTCTCTATCCCAAATGTACAATCTTTATGCAGCCCTCATGGAGGAAAAGCTCCGGGTGTGTCTGTGAGGGTGCAGTTTAAGGACGTTTTGTTGGAAATGGAATTTGCCGAGTGCGGAGTTAAGATGCAGAATTTTGTCCCTGATGCAATAGGGAGCCAGTGGATGATTGTGTGATCCAATGAAGATAAGATTTAGAAAGTCTGTAGAAAGTAAACTGCAGGCAAACAAGACAGTAACCAAGAGAAGGGGCCCGGGACAAGTGTGGGTGGCCCCAGTGAGGGCAGAGGACCTACTTTGTCTTCTGTAGCTGCCTTTGCTGTGAGGGCTAGCACAGCCTCTCCTTAGCTACAGTGAGGCAAGGCCATCCTGATGACACTGACACCGAATTTCCGGGGTGTGTCCTCCCGGGGCAGGGCACAATAAGGGATGTCCAAGGGTGCTCTTCCTTTGTGTTCTCAGTTACTCCTGGGAAGAACAGAAGTGAATATGAAAATTAAGGTGAATTTCAGGGGACACATTTGCAGCTCATTATAGTAAGCTACCATTTTTGCCCTGCTCTGATTAAGGAGAACTGCAAGAAAATGACAGAGTGATATTGGAAACACAAGTTTTCATTGCAAACCTAAACCAGCGAGCTATGCGTCATTACCACCACATGCTAGCAGGGAAGAGAGACGGCGTGAGCATGGAATCAGGAAGATGATTACTTCATGGGGCAATTTTTATAACTGTATGATGAAGGAATTGTGTAGCACACCAGCTTCACCTCCAGACATGCACAGGAATAACCAGACTTCAGCCTAAAGTCTTTATTTCTGATCACTTTATTCCTTTCAGGCCCTCCTTGTAATGGGTGAGGCCCACCTGCATTGGTGAGGGCATCTTTGTTACTCAGTCCACTGAGTCAAATGCTAATCTCTTCTGGAAACACCCTCACAGACACACCCAGAGCAAAGGTTTATCACTATCTGGGCTTCCCTGAGCCCAGTCAAGTTGGCACACGAATTTAACCATCACAAAGAACACAGCTCTTTATAGTCATACTATAAAATGCAGTTTGGAAAATGCCTGGCCTCTGCATCAACAGCCATTTTGTGCTTTGTGCATCATTAGAACAAAGTGGGCCCTGCACAAATGATAGAAATATAAGCACTTACACAAAATGTGCAATTGTTGACTCACTTCTACATTTCTCTCCATCCCCCTTGTTTTATATACCTGTGTGGGGAAACGTCTTCAGAAATGCTACTCTATAGTCAGCAGAAAGCAAAGAACTCCACACAAGAATATACATCCCCCAAATATATGGAAATGTGGGAAAGGCACAAAACCAACCATCCCTTTGTTCCCAGTGAAAATACTTGGGATGGCACCTCTTGGAATCACAGGTTGAGAGAAAGAAATGAGGCATAGAACCTGGTGAAGTGGGAGGTGGTAGGAAACACATCTCAGGGGGTAGGGCTAGTTTTATCGTGCTCCCCCAACCCTACTGATTTCAGGTCTCCTGCTGAGACCTGGGGATCCCTCCTCTTCCTCCTCTTGCTCTCGCTGCACTATAGAATGATAGCAATATAGGGAAGCAGTCAGCCGCCACTAAGAAAACAAGACAGCAGCGTCACAGTGCAGTTCATTAACCACTGGGCGTCTGCTACGGACACCACTGTGTTGACAGTGCATGATGAAAGATGCTTTGAAGAACTCTCACAAATTAAACTGTCACGAGACCCCATTTCAGAGCCTCTTACACCTTATTAATCAGCTTCCCAATTTGATTTTCTTCAGTAGCAACCAACCAAACAGCCAACAATTATTCCCAAATATACATGAATCATTTCCCCGGGCTATTTATGTTTCAGAGATAAATTAATATATTATAAAGTACAATTCTAAAGTACTAATATTTCATTTAACAAACTTACCAGAAGTTACACAGCACAATTGAATGTTCTTCTCCTTAATGGAGCAATGTTGGTCATCCATCTGCTTCTCCCTACAGAAAGGAAAATGGAAGTATGTGAAGCTTCTAGAACTTCTATTATGTGCTATGCATTCTGAATAGATCACATTATTTGTCCTGCACTACTTCTGAAGTAGCATAAGAAAATATATTCAACCATGCCTTTAGTTAGCTTAAGCACTTACCTATAGTCACCAATTCACATTCATGTGCCAGTTGTCACTATTGCCAAAGGAGTGGCATTTATGACCTCTTTGACTTACACCAAGTGCAGCCTTGCCTCTGACAGTGGCTCTGGGAGTGGGAGTTCATGACAAGCACATAAATAACTCTTCTAAGGGGATGGTACCCACTGACTTCATTCAACAGTTACTGTCCACCCATTTGATGTTCGCTGGTTCCTAGACATTCAAGGTTATGTTTATCTGCTAGGGCTGCCATAACAAGATACCACAGGCTGGGGACTTAAACACCTAAACATTTAATTTTGCACAGTCCTGAAGTCTTGGAAGTCCAAGATCAAGGTGCCAGCAACGCTGGGTGCTGGTGAGGGCCCACGTCCTGCTGGACAGCCCCATTCCTGCTGTGTCCACACAGCACATGAGCCCAACATGGGGCTTGATCTCATGATCCTGAGATCATGACCCAAACCTAAATCAAGAGTTAGAATCTCAACAAACTGAACCACCCAGGTGCCCCTGACATGTGAAACTCTTAATCTTTCAGTAGGGAGAGCTTATAATTGTTCAGTGCTCTTATCAATCCCACTTTACAAAAATGTAAGTGGTTAAGTAACTGGCTCAAGGCAATAGCACTAAAAGGTCCCGAAGCTAGGCTTGTCAAGGTCAGGATGGTTTGGGCACATCCATCCACTCAAGACCATGGAACTGCAACTGAACCGAGGCTCCTCTGCTAGCTACATGATGGACCAATAAGTGGAGAGGCAAGATGTTGGGGCAAAGAAAGCTATTTTATTTAGAAAACAACAAACCAAAGAGGTGGCAGACTATGGTCCCAAAGAACCATTTCCTCTTGGCATGAAAACCCAGTTGCTTTTGTTTTAGGAAGAGGGGGAAGTGGGAGAGTTGGGGTCCTTGGTCAGTCAATCTTTGTGGACAGGACTCTCTGATCATGTCCTTCTGGCAAATCTTACACAGCATAGTCATTTCTGGACATACTTTCTAACCTCCTCAGGTGAGCAAAGTTTTGAGTAATGTAGAGAGCAAGATGGAGTCACTCATGTCAAGCAAGGGCCTGTGTCAAGCAACGACGCAAACAGTTAAGGGTACTGCAGCTACCAGATATAGCCAATACCAGCACCATCTGATGACACTACAGAACTAATAACAAGTAGAAGCAGGAGAGGTCTGCAGAGGCCCAAGACTGATTAAATATCTTTTAAAGGAGAAAATTTTTGCAGCAAACTGTCAGACTCCTCAGACATGACCCCTCTATGACCACCTAAAAAAGGCAGCTGCTCCATAGGATGAGTTTGGAAGTTTTCCTTCCATTTCTATTTTTTGGAACAGTTTCAAAAGAACAGGTATTAAATCGTCTTTAAATGTTTGGTAGAATTCCCCTGGGAAGCCATCTGGTCCTGGACTTTTGTTTTTGGGAGATTTTTGATTACTGATTCAATTTCTTTGCTGGTTATGGGTCTGTTCAGGTTTTCTATTTCTTCCTGTTTCAGTTTTGGTTGTTTGTATGTTTTCAGGAATTTATCCATTCTTCCAGATTGCCTAATTTGTTGGCATATAATACTCTTTTATAATTGTGTTTCTTCAGTGTTGATTGTAACCTCTCCTCTTTCATTCATGGTTTTATTTATTTTGGTCCTTTCTCTTTTCTTTTTGGTAAGTCTGGCTAGGGGTTTATCAATCTTGTTAATTCTTTCAAAGAACCAGCTCCTAGTTTTTTTGATATTTTCTACTCTTTTTTTCAATTTCTAGATCACTGATTTCTGCTCTAATCTTTATTATTTCTTTTCTCCTGCTGGATTTAGGCTTTATTTGCTGTTCTTTTTCTAGCTCCTCTAGGTGGAAGGTTAGGTTGTATATTTGAGACTTTTCTTGCTTCTTGAGGAAGGCCTGTATTGCTGTATACTTCCCTCTTAGGATCACCTTTGCTGCATCCCAAAGGTTTTGAACTGCTATGTTTTCTTTCTTTTTTTAAATTTTTTTTTTAATTTTATTATGTTATGTCAGTCACCAAACAGTACATCATTAGTTTTTGATGTATTGTTCCTTGATTCATTAACTGCTATGTTTTCATTTTCATTTGCTTCCATGTATTTTGTTAAATTCTTAATATACTGGTTGACCCAAAAGACTCCACCAAAAAATTGCTAGAACTGATACAGGAATTCAGCAAAGTCACAGGATAGAAAATCAACCCACAGGAATCTGTTGCATTTCTACACACTAACAGTGAAGCAGCAGAAAGAGAAATCAAGGAATCGATCCCATTTACAATTGCACCAAAAAACTAAGCTACATAGTAATAAACATAACAAAAGATGTAAAAATCTGTACTCTGAAAACTATACAACACTTATGAAAGAAATTGAGGAAGACACAAAGAAATGGAAAAACATTCTCATGGATTAGAAGAACAAATATTGTTAAAATGTCTATGCTACCCAAAGCAGTCTACACATTCAATGCAATCCCTATCAAGATACCATCGACATTTTTCCAGAGCTGGAACAAACAATCCTAAAATTTGTATGGAACCAGAAAAGACCCCAAATAGCCAAAGGAATGTTGAAAAAGAAAACCAAAGCTAGAGGCATCACAATTCTGGACCTCAAACTGTATTACAAAGCTGTAATCATCAAGACAGTATGGTACTGGCACAAAAACAGACACATAGATCAATGGAAAGGAATAGAGAACCCAGAAATGGACCCTCAACTCTGGTCAACTAATCTTCAACAAAGCAGGAAAGAATATCCAGTGAAAAAAAGACAGTATCTTCAACAAATGGTGTTGGGAAAATTGAATAGCCACATGTGGAAGAATGAAACTGGACCATTTCCTTACACCATACGCAAAAATAAATTAAAAATGAATGAAAGGCCTAAATGTGAGACAGGCGTCCATCAAAATCCTAAAGGAGAACACAGGCAGCAACCTCTGTGACCTCGGCCACAGCAACTTCTTGCTAGACACATCTCCAAAGGCAAGGGAAACAAAATCAAAAATGAACAATTGGGACTTCATCAGGATAAAAATCCTTTGCACAGCAAAGGAAACAATCAACAAAACTAAAAGGCAACCTATGGAATGGGAGAAGATACTTGCAAATGACTTAACAGATAAAGGGCTAGTATCCAAAATATAAAGAACTTATTAAGCTCAACACCCAAAAAACAAAAAGTCCAGTCAAGGAATGGGCAGAAGACATGAACAGACATTTCTCCAAAGAAGATACAAATGGCTCACAAACACATGAAAAAATGCTCAACATCACTTGCTATCAGAGAAATACAAATCGAAACCACAATGAAGTACCACCTCACACCAGTCAGAATGGCTAAAATTAACAACTCAGGAAACAACAGATGTTGGCGGGGATGCAGAGAAGGCAGAATCCCCTCACACTGTTGGTGGGAATGCAAAGTGGTGTAGCCACTCTGGAGAACAGTACGGATGTTCTTCAAAAAGTTAAAAATAGAACTACCCCATGACCTAACAATTGCACTACTAAGTATTTATCCAAAGGATACAAACATAGTGATTTGAAGGAGCACATGCACCCCAATGTTTATGGCAGTAATATCCATAATAGTCAAAATATGGAAAGAGCCCAGATGTCCATCAAGAGATGAATGGATAAAGAAGACGTGATAAACACACACACACACACACACACACACACACAGGAATATTACTTAGCCATCAAAAAGTATGAAATCTTGCCATTTGCAATGATGTGGATGGAACTAGAGGATATTACGATAAACAACATAAGTCAATCAGAGAAAGACAATTATATGACTTTACTCATATGTGGAAGTTAAGAAACAAGATAGAGGATCATAGGGGAAGGGAGGGAAGAATAAAACAAGATGAAATCAGAAAGGGAAGTAAGCCATAAGAGACTCTTCACTGTAGGAAACAAACTGAGGGTAGCTGGAGGGGAGGTGGGTGGATGGATGGGGTAATTGGGTGATGGGCATTCAGGAGGGCACTTGGGATGGAATGAGCACTGGGTGTTATATGCAACTGATGAATCACTAAACTCTACCTCTGAAACTAATAATATACTATATGTGGACTAAATTGAATTTAAATTAAAAAATAAGATAAAAACAGAGAGGGAGGCAAACCATAAACTATAGGAAACAAACTGAGGGTTGCTGGAGGGGAGGTGGAGGGAGATTATGTAGGAAAAGATATTAGGGTTTGAAGCCAACAGCCAAGAAAGAATTCTTGAGATGCCGTTGGTGCAAAAAGGTGGTTTTATGAAAGCAGGGGGAAGAGCTGCACGGGGGTCATGAGGAGTGGCCCATTATATGTTTTCAAGTTAGGAGGGGGTTAGGGACAGTGTAAGCCTCCCAGGTATTTTGAAAACAAAGTTTCCAGGATCCTGAGGAAGTTTGCTATTGTTGGGAAAATTTATTACTGTTTCATAAAACTCAGTCATGAGACCCTCCAGATGTATATCAGGGGGTCTTGTGCTTGGAGGATGGTTACCAACACATATCTTGGTGGGTAGAAATAAAGGAAGTTTCCAAAGGAATTTCTATATGTTAAAGTAGACTTACAGGATCCTGGGGGTCAAGGTAAGGTTGCCTTTTGCCCTCAGCAAAGTATCAACAACGAGGCAGGTGAGTCCCTAGAGGAAGTCACTCTGCCTGTTTCAAGGACTTGTCCATGGGCTGTGGGTAGTAAGGAAATTTAACGATTTTTGTTCTGTCTTTGTTTCCCACATCAGAGGGATGGGGTAACTGGGTGATGGGCATTAAGGAGGGCACTTGATATAATGAGCACGGGGTATTACCTGCAACTGATGAATCACTGAATTCTACCACTGAAACTAATAACACACTATATATAAGATAAATTGAATTTAAATA